GATGAGCCTTTTTGTCTCGTTCGTATTACACCACCTTGTGTGGTGGATGATTCGAGATATTGTTCTGAGCACTCCGTTTGTCTTCTTTTTAATGCAGTAGCTGGTTGGAGGAAGCCACTAGTGGATCCTATTTCTTTACTTTCCCTCTGTCGTTTTCTTCTTGTCTTATTTATTTTTTTTTAAATTTATTTTTTTGTTTAGCACTAAATGAGCATGATGATAATCTCAGTGTTCTCCATATTGGTGTCCTTCTCATTAATCTAACCATCTCTCTTACTCATTTTTCTGAATTAAATAATAATAATTTTTTCGGGCATCGGTGTGCTTCTTTTTACTTTAATCCAAACCACCCGTTATCATGTCGTCGTGCCTCTCTTGTTCAACTGACTGGAACAGTGGCTGAATGGATGGGCAATGGGCAAAACTAGAAGTACTGTATTTGCACACATGACTGCTCCCAACTCAGAAGATGCACTAAATTCCCTGAGAAGGAAAGAACAAGTCAGTATCTTTCACCTGCGAACACAACACATCTCGCTGAATTCCTATCTAAATAGGATCCGCAAGGATATCCCACCCGACCACCCGTTGTGTGACTGCCAAGATGAAACTGTATCTTGCCACCTCTTTACCTGCCCTGATCTGATCGTATTATTGACGTTGTAACATTATGTATCCCTTTGCGACCTGGGTGGTACCTACATACCTACATACCTACCTACCTACATACCTACCTACTTACGTACCTACATACCTACCTACCTACATACCTACCTACCTACATACCTACCTACCTACATACCTACGTACCTACATACCTACCTACCTACATACCTACCTACCTACCTACCTACATACCTACGTACCTACATACCTACGTACCTACATACCTACGTACCTACCTACCTACCTACCTACATACCTACCTACCTACCTACCTACCTACCTACGTACCTACGTACCTACCTACCTACATACCTACCTACCTACATACCTACATACCTACATACCTACATACCTACCTACCTACCTGCCTCCCCAGACATCGGAAACACTCCATACAATGACAAAACACTACCAATAAAGACCTGTAAATTCTTTGCCATATCGACAGGCTGAGGGGCTAGAACTCAATGGCTGCTGGATCGGAAAATATAAGTTAAAGTAAAGTTCAACGATCCCCCGGGGCAGTGCCACTGACTGTAGTGTTTTTAGGCCATTCCCAAAGGGGGGTCATTTCTCGTTCAAGCACAGTAGAATATTTTCAAAGGGGGGACATTTCTCGTTCCAGCACAGTAGAATTGTAAATGGGCTGATTCATGTCACGCTCATAACTATGCCTGATCTACAACAGGGAACTGCTGCTTTTTCTTTCCTGATCCTTACTATTGTCATTTGCCTCTACTTCTTTTGTATGTTTGTCACTCTCTTGTGACCTGCTATTTCCGGGGTGCCTTGATAGTCGAAGCAGACCTTGTGCTGTTGAAGCTAGTGAGGTGAGTAGTCTAAGTCTGATTCCCTGTAAAGACTTCTCTGTTGCCACCCACCCCTTGGCGCCGTAAAACCCTTTACTGTAAAAAAAAACAACAACTGTAAAGAAGGAGATTGTTTATTATTGCATATGGGACAATTTGTCTCCGGAGTGTTGAGAAAAAACAGCTTCCAAATCCTCACGTACCCACCTGCCCAC